TAAAATTTTTACAGATGTAAGACTAAGATTTGTTCTTAATTTTCTCCCAGGGGTGTGTTCTCATGGGATCCAAAGCATATATATATATATATATATATATATATATATATATATATATATATATATATATATATATATATATACATATATATATACACACACGCGCGCGCGCGCGCGCATGCACATACATGTGCATATACACCACTAATGGCACGTTTGGTTCGCGCAATAGGCCTTGAATGGAATAGTATCCCAATAATATTTTTATTCCTTTGTTTGGTAAAAACTTCTATTCTCAGGAATAATGTTCCTACAAATGACCTATTCCCCTTGCAAGGGGAATAGAGATTCCTGGCCCCCCTTAGATATTAGGCTATTCCTGAGTTTTTAGAAATAGCCTAAAGTTGCTATTTCCTATTTTACCTGTAAGTCTGTAACACCCCCATTTTCTAACATTTGAGCCTAGTATAAATTATATATTTAAGAGATTGCAATAAGAGCATAAGTATTAAATATTCCCTTAAAACGGTTAACAACCTATGCACTCTAGGGGATGCATGCTATCGCCGCAGTCATCCACATGTGGATGACTACCAAGCTAACCTACTAGCGTCCAAAATCATAACACTCAATAAGTAACACGGGTTCACAGACCCAGGTGTCCACGCACCATACAAAACCCAGAAGATGGTCAAACAACTACATCGGTCTACAAATCACAAGTCTCAATATCCTCATCATCAATAAACAGGGGAAAAGCAAAGGGACTAAATACCAATGTTGCGAAAATCGCGCCAGGTGCTAGGCGGTGGCCGACCGCCTAAAATTTTGGCAAAATCGCCGTTCTAGGCATCCGACTGCCTAGGCGGGCATTTAGGCTACCGATTAGCTATTTTTCCTGTTTTTTTAAATGAGTTAATTCGCTCAAACCGACGCCGTTTTCAGTGAAATAATGCTAAATTGTTCAAATTGTTCGCAATCCCAAAAAATGTAATAAAAAAAATTGAAATCAGGTACTCTAATATTAATACTTTGTGAGTTGTGACTTTGTGTTTTGTTTTGATTCTTTAAATCTTTATAGAATTTACAATACTAGATGTTTTAATATTTTAGTACTAACCCTTTCAAAAAATATTATAGTACTAACTATTAAAGTATTAAATTAAATAGTTTATAATTACCAAGTCCTAAATAAATTTTATTTTTTAAAAAAAATTATTAAAAAAAAAACAGGCGCCTAGGCACTAGCCGCCCAAGGAACGCCTAGCGATTTTTGCAACCTTGCTAAATACAAAGAGCAAGCTAGGACAAAAAGGACTACTAATGCTAAGTCAACCTCTAAACGCCCTCTCATCACTCGTCATTCCAAACCTTAAAAAAAGGGTTTTTAAAACACAAGGAAAATAAACAGTTAGCATAAAAATGCTAAGTATAAACCACTAAACACAGTAAAATAAGTACATTTTTATAGTTTTAGAAAATAGGTATTTTTGATTTGAAAAACAACACTTTAGTTTGAAAAATCCAAAGGCAAGCACTTCTCAACCCGAAATAAATCAATAAATGACACATAGAATTATAGAAGTGTAAACCAAGTAGATTAATAGAGTGTGTATGTATGTATATATATATATATATATATATATATATAAGAATAAGCAAAAGACAGTAAATATGGGCAATTTACGTTTGGTAATATAAGAAGAAAATGTAAGCATAGTACAAACTCTTAACCCACCATGATAGTTTTACTTAGGGCTGTGCAGGACCCGAAAAAACCGACCAACTCGACCAAACCGAAGTCCGGTCTACTCAAACCGTTGAGAACCGAACCCGATGAAGGAAAACCGAACCGCCCCGTAAAACGACGTCGTGTAGATATGTTTCGGATTGGGGGATGAATTAAGTCACCCGACCCGTCCGAATATCCGATTAAGCGTAGACTTTCCAATGGCTGTGTTAGATACGGCGTCGTTTAGAACAAGTATATATATATATATATATATATATATATATATATATATATATATATATATATATATATATATATATATATATATATATATATATATATATATATATATATATATATATGTTGATTAGCCTAATCCATCATATCTCTCCTCATTCTCTCATCGTGCAGTCGAAGCTAGGGTTTCATCTGAAATTTCTTTCTCTCATTCTCTCAAAGACTCATTCTCTCATACTTTCATACTCTCATCTGAGATTTCTCTCCCACTCTCTGATACTCCGTTACTCCTAGTCTCTCAATCTCTCAGACTCTGAGCCTCAGTTCCACAACCACCCTTTGTGACAGTTATGTAGTCCGGTGGTTTGGTCTCTCAGGTGTTGGTGGAAGCCCTTGTTGGCGTTGTTACTAGTGTTGGTGCCTGCGTGCCTGGTGCTGTGACCTCTACTGGTGATATTGGGAAAACGAAGCCCTTGTTCTCCGAGGTATCTGTGAGAAACGAAGTAAATCTTCTAACCCTAGTTTTTAAAATTTGGTGCATGATGAGACAAATGAGTTGTTATGCGATTTTGTGATATGTTATGCCATTTATGTGAATATTTGGTGGAAGCACTGACTTATTGAGTGTTTTTTGCAAACCATACTTTGATATTGTCAGTTTGTGAATTGTTTTCGCATTTTGTGAGAATTTATGATATGTTATGTCATATATCTGGTGGAAGCACTGACTTAATCGACTGTTTTTTGCAAACCCTACTTTGATACTGTCAGTTTGTGAAATGTTTTCGCATTTTGTGAGAATTTATGATATGTTATGTCATATATCTGGTGGAAGCACTGACTTAGTGAGTGTTTTTTGCAAACCCTACTTTGATACTGTCAGTTTGTGAAATGTTTGAGTCTGAGTCTCTGAAATTTGTGATATACTGATTTGTTGGAAGCCCTTTCCCCCTAAATCAGTAAATCCAGATAATGATGCCTGATGAACATGAGGCCATGACTGTATAACAGTGTCTGCCTCTCTGGAAAGGGAAATAAAAACCCTGAATATGGATTTGTTTAAAAATGTGAAGTACTCAAGTTTATGGATGTTTGGCCTTAAATCTTAATGACAAAATAAAATAAAATAAATAAATAATTATGTATTCTTTGAAAATGATGAAACACAATGTGTCTGATTCTGGAATCCTTTCTGCTTCTGTGATTCTGTGTAATTGTATGCTGACTGTGAGGCTGTTTATTCTTCTTGAATATGAACCCTACCTATGCTTACTGGAGTTACTGATAGTTCACCATTTTTAGATGGAAAATATCAGTATGCCTAGTATTCAACCTCCCAACTCTTCAATTAATGGACCTTCGGGGTGGAAGCCCAAACTGTTGAGAATCATTAACAGAATGAGCAACCTCCTGCTGCTGTTCCTGCCAAGAAAAGGAAACAGGTTGATTCCAGATCACCAGTGCGGGATCATTTTGAGAAGATAAAGGACAGTAATAATGTGGTTGTAACATGCAAATGCATTTTTTGTGCAAAAATGTATCACTGTGAGACAAAAAAACATGGGACTTCTTCCTTAAGAAATCACATGGTTAGCTGTTTGAAAAACATATCTCATTTCTATTCTTAGACCGACCAAACACTGTAATATAATTTCTAAAGTCTATTTATTCCGCAAACTAAACAATAGAATACAATATAATTCCCATTCTATTCCTTAAAATTCCTTATGGAATAGCATTCCTATTATATTAAAATTAATTCCGTGAATCAAACGTGTTGTAAGAGTTTTAAATTTTCTTTTTAATATTTAAAAGAAAAATATAAGCAATTAAGAAGCGAAACATTGTAAAATTAAAAGACTATCATCTTATTTTAAACGTTTTAATATATAAAATTTCTTAATGATTTCATCTAGTTGTGGTGAAAAATGTCACTTTAACAACAATATATATATAATTGTAAAAACAAAAAAAAAAAAAAACACAAAAACAAAAAACAAAAAACAAAAAACAAAAAAAACAAAAAAAAAAACAAAAAAAAAAAAAAAACAAAACAAAAACAAAAACAAAAAAAAATAAAAAAATAAAAAAATAAAAAAATAAAAAAATCAAGAAATGAGCTAGGCTATTATAGTATAATTTGAAGACTCAAAATATCATTTTCTCCTTTCTCTTATTCATCCTCTTTGTCATGTAACTATGTAAGGTACACTGCGCACGCCATGGTTGGTCAATAGCCACCTGCACCACTGCACAAGTGGATAATTCATTTTGATGTTTGATGTTTTTTTATTTCAATTTTTAAAAGAGATTCAAGAAAAATATTTTGTAGATGTGTCTTTATTTGTTCAACACATGCATTTGGCAAGTTTGAGAAGTTACTTATATTTTTGTCCATATATGATATTCAAAAGCAAAACTTTTCTATATTTCCCTAAGGGCATCCTCAATAGTTGAGGATTTTACCCTAGATTTTTGTGGACCCCAACATCCACCTCATCATCAATTATCTCACTCAGTTACAAAATCTCTTCTTATCATTAGTTTTAAGCTTTTCATAACTTTTTCACAAAAATAAAAGATCTTCAATTGAGAGTGGCTGCCAGCTCTCAAATCTCAATGGCCCATGCGGGCCACTCTTTCACGTTCTTTTTTTAAAAGATCTTCAATTGAGAGTGGCCGCCAGCTCTCAAATCTCAATGGCCCATGCAGGCCACTCTTTCACGTTCTTTTTTTTTTTTTTTTTTCTTATAAAGTTCTGACATGGGTTAGTGACAAAATGTGGGTGTTGCAGGTGAAAATTTTCTCCAAAATGCAACACCCCCATTTGTTAAAAAGTTTGTTAGGTTAAATTTTATTGTTCTAAAATCCCCAAAGATTTTCTTATTGGGAATGTCCACATGCACTACAGCACAAGTGAATAATTCATTTTAATTTGTCTTTTCTCTACCACTTGAAGCCTCCAAACTTGACCTCCCCTACTGTATGTCTATATATATTTATCATCTTCATCTTTGAATCATCATCCTCTATCATCCACCAAAAATATTTTGCTTCCTTTATTTGTTCTGTTAAATCATATCATTCTTCTTGAATATGGCTCCAAACCCACAATCATCCACTCATGAGCAGACGTTTGGCCAAACCATCCATGCCAGAGTTCGCCTTTCTGTCAAAACCGACGTGCCACACCTCCACAAACTCATGCAACAAATGGCCTCGTACCATGACTACACTAAGGTTTTTACATCAACCCAAACCTCAATCTCCACTAACCTCTTCGACTCCAATCCTTGTCCTCCTTTCTATTCTGCCACAGCGCTCATTCTTGAGGTCTCCCCTAACTCTTTCCCGCCCGCCGTCCTCCCGGTCGGTTTCGACCCGGTTTACAAGACATTGCATCTTGGCTCTGCCATCGCAGACCCAGAATCAGAAACCTATGAATCGCAGGAAGGTGATGATAACGTTGTTGTTGCTGGTTATATTCTTTTTTATCCTAGCTACTCGGGGTACTTCGAAAAACCCAGCATCTTCATGGAGAACTTGTACGTGAGAGAGTGTTATAGGGAGTTTGGGCTTGGAAAAATGCTGTTCTCGGCCATGGCAGCGAGGGCTGCAACCCTAGGGTTTTCGACTGCGGATTGGTTGGTGGTGGGATGGAACGTGAAGGCGATAGAGTTTTACGTGGGAATGGGGGGTCAAATCATGCAAGATGTTAAGAGGTTTAGGTTGTCAGGTGAAGGGCTTAAAGCATTTGCCAAAGAGCAAGATGAACAATAAAATGATGCATGCAAGTATTTAACAAAAATACATATATTTATTTTGCCCTAAAAGAGGTGGCCAAATTAGTGATGCAAGATTCTCGTATAAAAAGTTACAAGTTTGGTTCCGGCCTGTCAAGATTGTCTTAATCTATTCCATGGCATGGAGCCTCAGTGCACACACCATTTGATAGTAGTTGCAAATTGTGTGTGTGTGTGTTTATATATATAATGTAAACTATATACTATTCACGTAAGGATACATCTGATTTAAACTGAGTTCTCTGCCAATAATTTGCTACGCTGCTACAAGAAGAAATCTTTGGTAGCAGCAAAAACCAAATTAAAGGTATACCACAGAAGTAGTTCATAACCAAAGAACCCTCAGAATATATGAAAATGGAGGGATCACTGCGATACAGAGAGACACCCATCCTGTAATGCACTGTGTGCAGAGATAGAGAGATAAAGAAGAGTATGCAGGAAGGATAAAAGAATTGTATATGGGAGTACATGTACTAAAACTCTTGTAATATATTATCCATGTGTATTGATGATAAACAAGTAAAGATATATATATATATATATATACAAGATAAGTTGACGGTAATAATAATAATAATAAGGATTAATATTTGAAATACGCATGCAATGAAAGAGAAGATGCCACATCATTAAAAAGCTAAGTCAATATTAACCGAAATACATGATGCTTCATATTTTGATAAAAGATGATCCAGAACCTGCAGTACATAATATTAGACAACAATCATTTTAAAGAATCAATGCAACTTAAGAAACACTTACTTCCTCCGGATGTTTAAAACAATCAAAAGCTCATTACAGATAACAAACTTACATTTACTCTGTAGCAATGCTCGTTGAAATTCCAAAACTTTGCCACGTGACTGTAATAGAGAAAGCGACTTAAGTGCTAATGGACCAATTGTGACCGTAATATAGAGTAATTTCTAAACCCAAAATCAGCAGTATCCATCTTTCATGTATATTCCCAAAGTCATTTTATTTTAGTGCATAAATCTGTAAAGGGATGTCTATATACAGACTATCAATCATGCAATCCAATATAATAATCTATTATGGCAATTGTTGTACAAGCAAACACGCAAGATATGCAATCTGTATGCAAACTACAACTTTTGGATACCAAAAAAAAAAAAAAAAAAAAAAAAAAAAAAAAAAAATCAATTGAAAACAGTTAAAATAACATATAATAATTCAAATCTCTACTCGCTTAAAAAAAAATTATTGAAAACTCCAGGGCCCCCACTCCAATTCTTAAGCCAAGAGCAGCCTCTATTTTTCCTCTCATTCATAAGCATCTAGAACCCAATAAAGACAACTTATTGCTAATCAATCTCAAGAATAAAAGCTTATACTAGTGTTTTTCAAAGAACAGATCAGAGGACCATTTCAGCACTAAAAATCAATTTGGTACATTAAAGAATGAAAATAAGAAAGGAGAACTTTACCAACTTGCAAGTGGAACCAAGAGCCCTACCACATCAACTTCATCTACAACAAAAAACAACACATCTTAAATTTTTCAACAACAAATGATGGGAAAAAAAAAAAAAAAAACTTGTAGATTCGAGAAGCAGCAGCCAATTCAAACTACAAATAGATATAGTTAGAAAAAATAAATTGAAACGCCAATAGATAGGTGATCCTTCCTAATGTTCCCATCCAATGAGCAAGTCTCAACTTCATAACTTCATTACTAGAATGGAAGAAATAAGAACATACAGGGAAAAGATGGCACATAATAGCCTCCAACGAGCAAAAACAACAACAATATTAAAGAAGCTATCATCCATGTCCTTCAATGCTCATCACCACAGCTCTAAACAACTCGTGTAATCCTAATCCACAAACAAAAATTATCGCACAAAATCATAGTAAATGTCAAAGTTTCAAGAGGTATTTGTTTAGAAAAATGTTTTTGATTTACTTGGCTGGTTACTACAATAAGGAGGATTGCAAATAATGTGAAGAAACATTGGATCATTATCTTAATACGAAAATGGTAAGAAATCGGCAATGTAGATAGAAACAAAACAAAAAATCCATGGATTCATAATTTTAAACCCTAGAACTCACCTTTTGAGCTTGTATCCAGTTGCGACCCATTTGTGATTGTGCTCCATCTGTACATTCCATAGTTATTCTAGGTTTTCTGTTCAGGCAACTTATTTAGGAAATTAACAAAAATCAAAGGGGAAAAGAGAAGAACTACGATATTTGGCTGTCTTCGTCTATCTGTGTTTTAGAGTATGTACAAGTTCATGTGATGGTTGATCTTCAGACAAGGAGTAGTACACAGTGGAGGGAAGAAGAGGAAGACAAAGAGGGTGGAGGAAGGCGATGTAGTAGGGAGAGTTCCCAGCCCAATCCTTTTTAAAATGTGCCAATTTCATTTCTGATGTCAATCAGTGGCGGTTTGTAAACACCACCATTAAATTTGTGTCACTAAATGATTCCTTTTTTGTAGTGAAAATACATCTACTTCCCTAAATATATTTATTACTTAATTTATATCTATATCTATATATTCTATATATTTATATCTATCTATATATAATTAAAAATAAAATCTTCCTTCTATGATTTTTCGCACAAACTAATTATATTGGTCAAATTATATAATTATGGTAGACTATAGAATAATTAATTATGGTCAAATTATTTAATTATAATACATTCCATTTTGAATTAATTTCACTTTTGGTCCCACGACTTTTGAGTTCTTATCACTTTTGGTGCACAATTTTAAATTTTTTCACTTTTGGTGCCTAATTTTGTTATTTTTATCAGTTTTGGTCCTTCCAGCCAAATTGACGGTAAAATATTTCCAGATTTTATATTTTAGGGACAAAATCGTCATCCAATTTAAAGATCTTCAATATTTAAACAAAAGAAAAATCATACTAAGCGGAAAAAAAGAGTTTGCCAATGGTCGAAACTATAAATCTCATAGATCTATCTGGTTTCTGCCCGTCTTCCCCATTATTCTCATCGATCAAACACCTATAGATATGATTTTAAGTGATTTTGTTTAGATATTGAAGATGCTTCCTTAGGATGACGATTTTACCCCTAAAAATATAAAATCCAACAACATTTCGCTGTCAATTTGGCCGAAAGGACCAAAACTGATAAAAATAACAAAGTTAGGCACCAAAATTAAAAAATTTTAAAGTTGTGCACCAAAAGTGATAGAACATCAAAAGTCGTGGGACCAAAAGTGAAATTAATTCTTCCATTTTTAATATAGTAGAATATAGAAGAATATTGAATTATGGTTATATTATTATAGTTATATTATTATTATGGTTTGGAAGAAAGATGTTTGCTGTAATATAAATACATGTATTGGTTTCAAACTCAATCACCACCATATCGCAGTCTATTCGCATCCAATCTCAGCATTCTTGGTCATGAGATTTCTCCTTATTACAACATTAGGAGTGCAATGAAGGTTTGAGTGGTTCGGAGTACAACGTTCCTGAAAGAAAAAACAACAATGTCATCAAGTCTAAAGAAATGGTTTTTCATGATTAAGCGCTATTTTTTTTTTACATCTTATTCTTTTCATCAGATTTCTATTTTATTTTTTTTTAGTAAAATGCATCTTATATTATTTATATACACATGAAACTATTTTGGTATGTGACAGGGAATGACTGCCAAAGATTGGAAGGTCAACTGTGCAGAGGTAAAATTTATATTTGTTTTAAAATGAACGGTTGGTTTATACAGTACGTTTTTGTGGTGTTATAGAGACAATTATGCCTGGTTACAAGTTTTTTTTTTCTTTTTTTGGGTGTTGGGTGGGGTTGTGTGGTGACAATCTACTGTTGTGGTGCAGTAGATTTTCTGATTGTGGTCAATTATGCCTGGTGACATTTTTTTTTTATATCTCCTGTTAACTTTTTATCATATTTGTTGAATTGTTTTTAATATGATGTTAGTTATTGTTATCTTTCATTATCTTTTTCAATTGCAGGTGTAGAAATAGTTCTACTATTTCTTACGATGAGATAGTTAAACTGGTAGATTATGAAGAGATAGATCTATATATACTAATTTTAACCTTTATTGATCTACTAGTATTTCATATGCGCGATGCGCAAAAATATATGCCCAATATTAATACTTAATTTTAAAATCTTAGTTATATAAATGTGTGTGTGTGTGTGTGTGTGTGTGTGTGTGTATAATTGTAGAATTCATATTAATATTAATGAAGTAAGAATTATAGAAATGATATATTACTAAATATAACTATGGTAACATTTAATTAAGATCTAAATAAAATCAAACTTACCAATTGAAGAATGTAAGAAAAAGATATTGTGTATGCAAGTGTATGATAATAATAATGTGAAAGATAACAGAAGTTATAACGGCAGGGATATTTTTGTCCAAATAATTATGTAATACAACATTTATAGCATAAGGTACAAAAAAAGTTAATAGAAAAAATGGACATAAAACCAAGGACATAACCTGGATTGAAACGTATTATGTTTTTAGATATATACTAATTTTAGCCTTTATGGATCTATATATACTAATTTTAGCCTTTATGGTGACCAAACCCCTATATGGAGTGTAAATACAATATTAAGTTTGTCTTTTGCGAACACATTTAATAAATTCATTAGTAAGTTTCTTAGTATTATAATGTAATCACTATCTTATGTAGGTATATTCAATTATGTAAATATGTGAGACCAACTATGATCAATGAATAATATCATAGATACATTGTACATTGCCAGTAGTATGCATATCTGGAATTTTATAGACTCATTTGAGCCCAAACAATTATGTTTATAAGAGGAGCATTGCGTATCTTATATAGAGGAGCTCAAGCGCTCATTTTCCAAACATTTTCAATGTGGGATCAAAATGATCCAACATCATTTACAAAGGGGAGCCAGTGGCTCCCTTTTGTCTTCTTCTTATTTTTTTTTTAATTTTAATTTTATTTTGTATATCGTTTTGTTTGGATTGTTGTTGTTGTTGTTATTATTATTATTATTATTATTATTATTATTATTATTATTATTATTATTATTATTATTATTATTATTATTATTATTACTATTATTGATAAATTCGTCAAAATTTTAACAAATTCGTCATTTTAACATTTTAACTTTAATCAAAACACCAAAAAAATTATATAATAACTCAGTAATTTGCTCCAAACTACTAAAAATTAA